CTGTCATTACAGCTTTTACAAGTGACAAAATGTAGTGGCAGTGAAAGGTGGAGGGAACTCACACAGCAGAGAGCTCTGGATGTTATACCAGAGCATGTGCTCGCATGCACTTTTGTTTTGGAGTTTGTAACGTAGTACACACACACACACGTTTTTTGTGCCCCATGTAAACAAAATCCAGTAACCGTGATATCTGTAGTACTAGTTCTGTTAAAAGCATGGTACCATTTAACACTTTAATTGCCAAATATTACTAGCACTAGCTATATAAATATAATAGCTATAGCTTTTATTATTAAAGGTGCTAGAGAGTTAATGAGATTTTGTTTAAAACAATTTTTTTATCCTCTCTATTTAAACAAATTAGCAAGCATGGCATGCATTTAATTACATCTATGCTTGTGCACACATTTTTGTCACTAATCTTTCTTTATTTCACTTACAAGCAATCAGTTGGATTGATTTCAGATTTCATAGTGGCTGGGGCGTGATTAAAGTTCAGCAAAAAATGCACAAGGAAAACTTTCGGCCTGTGCTGAGGCAGCTCGTGTGAAGATTCAAACGCATTTTCTTCAATAAAATGCAAAAAAACAGGGGAGGTGAGACACGATTCTTCCCTCAAAAATTATTCAGTGTTATTTGCCGGATTTGTAGCAGACTCACATTCGCGTCCCTGGCTTCTACTGTGTGTGGGATACAGAAACACAGTTTGGTCTGTGCTTAATCAGCTCTGTTTTTAAGTGTTCGCTCCTCAGTTTTCCAGCACAGCCCCGTGAAAGAAAAACGTCTGGTTGTGGGTGGCTTAGCTGGGTCACTGAGCCCACAGAGTAGAGCATTTCATAAGAAAGAGCCCACTTAATTCTGAACCATACATCGCATTAGCTGATTTACATGTGGACAGCTATCATTTTGTGAAGGCTTTGACATTGATAAATGAGGTGTTTTACCTAATAGCTAATAAAAACAAATTACAGGTCTTAAGAGAAAGGATGTTCTTCATTTGGCTCTGTTTTCTGTCTCTTTGAGGGCAAGAGCCAGATTGTTTCCATATGATTGTACCCTTCATTTGTTAAGAATACAGACAGAGATTAATAACAGGATTTTCTGATGACCGATCCATACTTTGCCTCTGAGTTAATTAAAGAAAAATGGTGGAAACTACTGGACATTAAGGACAAACGACTGCTTCATCTGCAGGCTTAGACATTTGTAAGCTACACAACTTTTATAATTATTAATAAGTATAATATATAATATGCAGTATTACAATATAATTATATATTAAATCATTTGACTCTTTAGTGTTTTTTCTCTCCCTCCGATTCTCAGCATTTCCACTGTTTTCACACATTAAACTTCATTTATTACAGGAAACTAAAATCTCTCCACTATGAAAACATGACAAACACATAACTGATATTTATATCCTCCTAGCCGTACGCTAAGAGCAATAAACTTTTCTCAAAATTAGCAATACACAAATAATCTCATGGTTACTGTGAAACCTTGATGGTTTTCACAGTAAGACTGTTAATTATGCAGGGTATAAATGCCTCAGTGCTATGATTATGTGGCTGCTGCCCTTGTCCGCGATCCATCAAATACGCTAAAATCAAATTAGCGAAACTATAAACAATCTACTTATGGTCTGAGGGGATTTGCGTGGTTTTCTCAGAGGGTGCATTTTTGACACACAATGTTAAATGACAAATGGCAGGTCAGAGACAGAAACAAATCAGCGCTCTGACCAGAGGTTTTTTTTCCCAAAGAAAAAATATTAGCCCAAACACTACTTAGTAGGTGAGGGTGTGTTATTCTTAACTGGTTCGAATCACTACTGGACTCTGCAGGTCCCACAGAGCTCATATATAAGCTCTCTCAGGTTTCTTCAGTAAGGCGTGAAAAGGCTTCCCTTTTTGTGTCTATCAAGCTGCCTGTATACATATATTATATATGTGTGGTAGTGGTATATAATATCTATATATATATAGTATATTATATTATATATATATATATCATATACTATAATTATATATATATATATATATATATATATATGTATATATATATATATATGTGTGTCTTTGTATAGTGTGTATACATATATATATATGTGTGTGTGTGTATATATATATATATATATATATATTTATATATATATATATATATTTATATATATATATATTTATATATATATATATATATGTATATATATACATTATATGTGTATAAGAACAGTGAATTTTTCTTATAGTATCAGACTGGTCGATTCAGTCTGTGTTCTGACCAGAAATAGATTAGTAGTGTGGTATAAGAGAGTGAGGGAATTAAGTGAGGGCGGCCTCAAAGATCAATCAGAGGTCTCACCTTTTCTTTCATTTCTGTCATTGGGGAAGAGAAAGCACAGCCAGCACCTGTCTATTGCAGCGACATGATTACAGTATAGGCAGGCACATTGTCAGAGACAAAAGGGTGGATGGAGGTGATAGCTGGGAAATTATTCAGAAGCTCGGAGAACGAAAGAATCGTATAGTAGAGAGAGAATAAAGGGTTTGAGCATGGAAAAAGGAGACAGAGTAAGTCTGTTCTCAGGAGACAGGTGGGGTAAAGTTGTGTTAAGCTGAGATCAGAGAGGGGGATCAGTCCACGCATCCTCTGTGTGCTGAGTGTCATGTTTTTTACAGCAGGGAGTGGGGAGTCAATAAACAGCTGTTCCTTCCTCCTCCACATCGCTGTCGTCTAGTGAGTAAGTGAATGTTGAGCCTGAAAGAAGCAGCTTTTAGAGGCGTTACATGTGTATACAAGTGAAGAGGCAGATTTTTTACAAAAATATGGGATAACCATACCATCATCATAATATTATTATGCAAACTAAGAGCAGCACAGTGGTATTGTGATTAGCACTGTCGCCTCCTGGGTTTCGACATTTCAGTTTGGTTCAGTTCAATTCTGCTTTTGAATGTAGGTTTATTTATATAACACCAAATCACAGCAACTGTTGCCCCAGAGTGCCTTATACTCAAAGGTAAAGACTTACAATATTCTTGAGAAAACCCCAGCAATCTAATGACCCCTTAGAGCAACCGTCTTGAGATGGTAGGAAGGAAAATCTCCCTTTTAACAGGAAGAAACCTCCAGCAGAACCAGGCTCAGTGAGGTTCAGTCATCTGCCTTGACCATTTGGGTGGTGGGGAGAAAGGAGAGTATAGGGAGACAGGACAAAAGACAGACTAACAAAGAGAAAAATTTAATGGCATGCTGCAGTGGTAGCACGTGGGACGTGAGTAGAGAATAGGTGCTCAGTGTTCTCTACTAACAGTATTACTGGAGGCCAAGGTAATGTCATCCAAAATAAGAATATCCTTTCTAAGATTTTTTAGGAAAAAAACTTGGTTTTGTCTGAATTTGAGAGAAGAAAATTATGGAACACCCAGGCCTTTATATCTTTGAGTCATGCACATAGTTGAACAAATTGCTTTGTCATCCTTCTTCATAGATAGATATAGCTGAGTATCATCTGTGTAGCAGTCAAAATATATACAGTTTTACACTGCCTGAACCCTGTGGAACTCACATGTATAGAAGACTCCCCATTTACATGAACACATTTAATGTAAATGCTCTGAAAGTTTCAAAGATTTCAGAGCATTTCCTTTAATGACTTTTCTAATGCCGGGCTCTGATCTGTGATAGACTGGTGACCTGCCCAGGGTGTACCATGCTTCATGCTCTATCACACACACAGGATAGGCTCCACCACACCTTGGAACCCAATAGTATTATGAAAACTAATACATTATCTAGTTAACTAAACTTTACCTTTCCCAGAGGAGAAAATAACAACATTCGAGAAAGTCTGCTTTAAAATTAAAACAATAAGTTTAATTTAACAGGGTTGGTTTAAACATCAAACAGTGTACTGAAGCACAGTTTTCCACTCTGGTCTGCTGCAGCCCATGTGCCTCTGAACATATAGTAAAAAACAATAAACTGGGGGTTGGGGGTCAGTGGGGGATTTCTGTAGATCTAGGCCTAGTAAGTCAAATAAGTCATTGAGAAAATGTGTTTTTTTGTTTGTTTGTTTGGGGTTTTTTTTGCAAGATACAGAAAGGAATCCTGTGAATGACTGATATTTGAACATTTACTATCATTTCAGTCCAGCTGGCTGCTTCTCAAAGTGCCCCAGGTTACACCACCATGACATGTCCCCATGCCAGAGTGGAATATAGTTGGAGGAAGCAGACTACATCATTTAGCAGACTGTCTGCTGGCTGCAACATCACACTGGCGTATCCTAGCAACCAGTTTAGAAGAAGGGCTCACTCAGGCAAAGCTTCAGTTCCACCTGGTGATCTCTGAGGAGCGTGTGTGCGTGTGTTTGTGTCCGTGTGTGTGTCTGTTGGCTTGCTGCGATAATGGATGAGTGTTGTAGAAATGAGTGTGCTGGCTCAGTCCTGCAGGGAAGATCAATATCAACTATACATTCATCTCTAATTACCACAGCAGAACTTAGAAGGGATCTCTTTCTTTTTCCTTCCCGCCCTCTTGTTCTCTTTCACAACCTCTACTTGGTCTTTTTTTTTTCGCCTTTTATTAACTCCCACTTCTTTTTTATCATTCCTTTCCTCTGTTTTAAAATATCAGTTTGTCCCTCTACTTAGTTACTGGTATGAGGGGGAATGAAAATATGTTGCCCTTGGTGTGGTACATAAGTTACAGACCAGTATTTCTGCTTCCCAATTTCTTCTCTTTGTGTCAGTGGACTTCGTGTCGGTGTGTGTTTGTGAAACAAAGTCTTTCACTCCTGTCCTTTCTTCCCATTCCCTGTGTGCACACTTCATTGTGTAATTTATGAAGAAAGAACACAAAAAAACTAAATACCCAGTTGGTTATGTGGCCCTTTGTCCTTTTTGTTCCCTTTCCCAAGACTCCACAACCTCACAATGATGACAGCTAAGGCTCATTTAATGAAATGTCCCCATACTCTCTCTCTTTGTCAGTGCTCAGCATTGGGGAAGGAGGTTTCTGGGAAGGCACAGTCAAAGGGAGGACAGGATGGTTCCCAGCAGACTGTGTGGAAGAAGTGCAGATGAGACAATACGATCCACGACTAGGTAAGACATCTACATGCACACTGACCCATACATGCATGTGCATACTGTGCACTGATGGTGTCAGAGTCTGACAAGTTATTATAATCTTGCTCTAATGGTCAGAGTCCTGTGTAGCTCTCTTTGTGGAAACAATAGTGTGACATCTGTGTCTCTGTGATGTAATCATCAATTAGTTGGAAATACCCTGAAACCAGAAATGAAAAAAGGTGCACTATAAATTAATTGGCAATTACATTTTTTAAATTGACTATAAACTGCTTTCATTCTAATCACTTTCTTGATTTTTTTTTTATCATTTAAAATTTCAGGCTTATTAATTAAACGCCTGTGCCAACTATAGAAATTCTGTCAAAAAAATATCTCTCCTGTAACCATCGCCTGCTGCCTAAAATTAAATATTGATCTTAATGATAAATTCTGAGAGGATTTAAGTAATTTGGGGAATACTGAACAGCAAAAGCCAAAGTAATAATGATATTTTTTATACATGTGTCCACAAAAAGCATCACCCACCTCTGGCAGTGTAAATACAGTGTTAAGGAGCAATAGTTACAGAGAGGATACTTGGGCTGAAATGGGTTAGTCACTGAATCCACTTTGACTTCAAGTTGGCCATATTTTTGCTGCATGTCAGTCCCCTGCTGTCTGTATGTCTACCCTGCACTTTGTAAATAAATGCAAAAATAAAGCCCGTGTTTGTTGAGGTAAGGGTTTTAAGCACCCAGTTGTACTTCAGAATTATACTTCAAAAGTAAAATTTGCAAATAAATAAGTAATAACAAATAGTAAAAAGTTTATTTGTTCCAGATTCCCAACTGTTGCAAATATTTACAGCTGCTTTGACAGTAAAACTGTATCATCAATAAAATATTCTTACAGTAGCAGCTGAGGTAAATCTTTTGAAAATGTCTAGGCTGCCTGGAAAGACGGTTATGCCGATGCCGGAGACAGTATACTGGCAACAGAGTACTTAAATCTAACCTTCCCTTTTCATTAGTTGACATTTGACTGTTGAGTTATCCACCAAAGATTTTCAAGCTTTTAGGGGCACTTGATTAGTGCGTAATTAAATGCAGGTGTACTGCAAAGCCTGAATGGTTTAGCCTGCATTAGAACATGTAGTCAGGGTTTGGATCAGAGGAAAATTCTCATGAAATTTAGCAGTCGACTACAAGTTAATGGAAAATACTTCCTGTATATTTTCCTTCTTTTTATAAAAGGTTTGCTTTTAATTTTCAGTCTTAAAAAGTGTAAAAGCATTGTGTAATAGAGCTGTATGTGAATGATGTGTTATCATTTGTGGAAAGCCCACATGAACAAAAACATACATAAGCATTAGTGGTGACAGACCTAGTTTAGTAAATTAGAGTTTATGTATTTCATGCTTATCTATTAGTTTTGTTAAATAATTAACCAAAACTTTGAAAATTGGTTTTGTATGAGAGTTTTATGGAGGTGAATAAATCAAACATGTGTAGGCAGACATCTTTTAGTCTCTGTAGTGACACTTGTTGTGGCTGAAGGCTTCATGTTTTCAGACTGTCAGTTGGTACATCAGTCATATAGGACAGGTTCACACTGAGCTCACAAAACGTGTTTTGCTAACCATGATGAAATTTCACTCAAATGTCTAGTGGGGGAGGATGATAACATAAAGATCTTCTATATCCAAAAGGTCAAAGGTGAAGTCTGCAGAGAAGTAGATTTAAACAGTAAATCGATTGTTTCATAGAGGCTCACAGCCACAAAGGAATAATTCTAGAAAGAAATCACTTTCACTCCAATTACCCCAAAATGCACACAGCAGATGAATAGTCAGTATTTAGCTGGTGTTTGTATTGTTTCATTTGTTTGGCTGCCCATTTTTGTACTAGTTTATAAATGTCTTAATTGATACTGAGGTGGCTATTCTCGACATCAGATTGTCAGTGATGGGAAGGTTTAGTCTGCTTTCTGTTTGCTGAAAGTCTAGTCTGTCTCACAGATGTCAGACACTGTTAACCTGCAGTTCTCTCAAGTAATCTGCTGACGACTGGATCGCTTTGTTTTTAAGAATCCTTTCTTATCATTATTTATTGACCTTTACATAAACTCATTGGGCTTGAGGAATACAAGCAAAATGGCCCTGAAGTTTTTAAAAGCTGAAAAATAGTCTACCAGTAAAACGTATTGCAGTAGTATGGTAATGGAATGCATTGCTGTTTGGCTGTAACACACGGAAATGATACAGGAACAATAAATAAAAAAGACCACCTAACAGTAAAGCAGCTCCTGCCCTGCAGTAGGTAATAAAATGGTGTAAAACTTCTATATTTTTTGGCATGCCATTTTGTGTGCTTCATAATTGACCTTCACATCCATGTTGCAGCATTTAAAGACAACATTGTAAACTTTTCAAACAACTCAGAGTACTTCAGATTAATGTGAACGCATCTCCATTTAGACTGTCGTTTAATTAGCAGCTGGCACATTTCGTTTAGTGCAGTCCCAGGGGGAACAACATGTGCAGTGGGGTTGCTGGATTCAAATTTTTGTGCAGCATCATAAACAAATATCATGGAAACCATCTGGTCACTGGGTGAAAACGTTTACCTTGGCATAAAAGGCTGCAGCAGGTTCATAGAGTGGAAATAAGGCAAGGGCATTTTTGGTTGTGAATATCATCCCCTTCCTTGTGTGTTTGTCGTGCGTCTCCTGGGGCCTATTTCTGGAGCAGCTGGGGAATTTTCTTTTTTTAAAGGGGTTGTTGAGGGATTGAGGTTACCTCAGAGTAGGTGTGGAGTGATGAGAAAGGGCGGAATCTCTAAATACTCCATTTAAATGCATTGTGAGAAAAAGATAGGGGAAGGTGGGAAAGAAAGGGCCAGATAGCAAGGGAGACGGATGGTGGAGCATACTCTAAAAGACAGCAAAGTGGAGATGGCAGAGCGTGTCTTTCAGAGAGGAGGAAAAGAGGGAGGAGGGGGGGGATCTGAATCTCAGTCCCACTCACTCATAAATCCTAAAAAAACTCAGTACCTAGAAGCCCTTTTTAGAGATTTGAAGTGATGCCTACCTTCCCCACCAGTAAATAGTTCTTTTTCTTTTATTTAACCGGATGCTAATAATTATATTTGCCTATAATTATATAAATGAAAATAAATTATGAAGTACAAGACAGGCATTTGATATATCAGTGATTAACATACAATTTCTGAATCTACTGAAGCATTTCAAAACTAATCTCATCCTCATCCCTAGATTCATGTGCAGTACAACAGCAAGACAACACAAGATGACATAGTAACACACACTGGGACACACTACAACACCCACAGTGGGTTGTTTATCTGAAGGCAGCCACTCAGGCATCACTGACAGTAAGGGCAATATGTCTCGGCCTAGTGAAGCAGGAAAGACAGCCCTGTCTACAATTAAGTAACCCAAATACCATTATACACGCTCCCTTTCTCTCTGCTCCACTGTGCCATGAGTCGTGAGGTCTAAACTCGAAAAAAAGCCCCCATCACTTCTCTGTTTCTTCTGAGAGGTTTGAAAGAGCAGTGCAGATGGAGGGAAAAGAAAAAATGATGTTGAATGGAAAAAAAGGAGTAGTTTAAGTCTGGGATGGAGGATGTGAAAACAGAGGGAGAAAGTGTGAATGACCATGTGACAGTTTAAGCCATCACCGACTCTCTGGCTGTTATCTGTCACCACATGGCTCTCTGCTCTCAGCATGGAAAGAGCTACCTGCAGCCAGCAGTTCATCTTCAACCAGTGCTCAAGGGGACAGAGAGAGGGAAGTGAGACAAAGGCTGAGTGTAGAAGTCAAAGAGGGAAACAAAAGCAATAGGAAGACCAAAATATTGATTGGATTGATCTACGGGGCCCCAGTAGTCTCGTGTGTCTGTTTGTCAGTGGGTTGTACTGTGTCAGTGTGTTGTTATTTTTCGGGTTAAAAAACAAAACTTGGAAAAGGAAAGGACTTTGTTTTCCAGCGCTGCTGAGAGCCTTGAATCATTTCAGTAAGCAGTAAGCAACTCCCCCTCCCACATACACACACAGATGCTGCTGGCCTGTATCAGGGGGTTAATAGTAGATGTTTACCCGTGTTAATGGAGGGAATAATGATATGAGTATGAACTGCTTTTCCCTTTCTAATGATGCTAACAAATTACCACGCCACTCATTTTTAGCAGTGGTACTGTTAATCTGTTGGCTACCATCTGTTGGGCTCCTACAACCCACCAGCCTAAAGACCCCACCCACCATCCTGCTATCCCCAAACGAGAAATCAACATGCAATAACCAAAAAGACAAGTTGTCCCTAATGGTAAATGAAACAGAGAGTTGTTTTTGATCAGCCTCATTTTCTATTATATTAGCCTTAATTTTCTTTTTTGCTGCCCTGCAGTGTCAAGTGTCCTTAAGGAATTAGAGGCACACGCGCTCACACGGGATAAAATGCACATTTTTCTCATTGATGGGATAAGCAAGGGCACATTTTTCAGCGGTTTTATATCTTAACAAGCGTGCAAAGTTTTATTTCTTTTCTTTTAGTGCTCATTCACTCCATTCCCTTGCTCTCCTCACACCGCGGCACAGTTGAATGACTCACAGCCGCATGAATCAGCCCAGTCAGATCCAGCCTGAGCTATTTTTAGCCTGCCCATTAAGAAGTTTTGGAGTGTGTCTGCACTCCCCTAGAATGCTTAAATATCAGTGTTGCTGCGGCAGCTGAGACTGACATGAACAGAGCATCACGGAGGGTAGGGTGGAAGAGAGAGGGGTAAGGAGCGATAGGGAGGTAGTGCAATGGACTGGAGAGGAATCACACAGGAAGTCATCTGGTCACAAGTGTGGAATTTTCAGCGCAATTTCCCCTTTGTAGCTCGGTTCTGCAGACATATCTGAGGTGCAACGGCAATACTGTAATTATCTGTGTCTGCTTATTGACAGTGTTTGATGATGCAGTATAGTATAATTTTCTTGGCATTTCAGAAGATTCTCAATGCTTGGCT